AAAAATACAATAAACATGTTCAATCTGTAACATCATCCGGGGGGACCAAAGAAGAACAGTCGACAGGCAGCTTGCATAGCTTCACAATAGGGCGCTGGGTAATTCCATTCTTAGTTTTCAGAGTTGCCATCCGATGAAGTCCGTCCGCGCTCATATGCATCTTCAGTACTCGGGCCATCCACCATTTTGTTGGCGGCATGTTTTCTTCAACGATTACCACTAAATCGTTCCCTTGTAATTCTTCTTTCCGCTGTGTCCACTTTGACCGTGGATGTAGGGTGTGAAGATATTCAGTGGAAAACCGTTTCCAGAACAGCTGTACGTTTTTCTGGATCAGCTGGAAGCGATCTAAAGTTTGATCCTTCAGCGACAAAAGGCTTGGCTCGGGAATTGCATTGAGTGGTTCACCAATCAATAGATGAGACGGAGTTAGTGGGTTGAGATCGTTTGGATCACTAGTGATGCTACATAGTGGTCGTGAATTAACACAGGCTTCGATTTGTACCAATAGCGTGTACATTTCTTCGAACGTTAGCTTCCGTGATGTCGTCATACGGCGTAAATGATGCTTCGTTAGCTTTACGTACGACTCCCATTGACCGCCCCAATTCGGTGCTCGTGGTGGATTAAAATGAAATTCGATTCCATCCGGAACGAAAGCTTGTTTGATTTCCGTTGATACTGAAGACGCGCTCTGAAGCAAAAGTCGAGGCAGCTCATTATTCGCACCTTCAAAATTCGTACCGTGGTCGCAATAAATATGTTTGCAAATGCCTCGTCGACCAACAAGCCGTCGGAGTGCTAATATAAATCGTTGAGTGCTCAAATCGCCAACCAATTCTAAATGACAGGCTTTCGAAGCCATACAAACAAATACGCAGATGTAGGTTTTGATTGATGGTGAATTGCGAAGCTCACCACTTTTGATTTCGATTGGTCCGGCGAAATCTAATCCACAATGAATGAATGCTCGTGCGGGAGTGGTTTTGATGGTTGGTAAAGGAGCCATTAGTTGATTCAATGGAGTAGGATTCTGTCGAAAGCAAGTCATGCATTTATGAATGAACGATTTTACATTATTGCGAGCGTTCAATATCCAAAATTCTTGTCGAGTGCGAGCTAATGTGAGATGAATAGTTCCGTGAAGTGTAGATGTGTGGGCTGCATCGATCACTAAATTAGTGAAATGACTTTTCGGCGGAAGAATCATTGGATAGCGTTGTCGTTCAGACAGATTTGCATATCGAAGCCGGCCATCAACCACTGAAATTCCGTCTTTAGACAACTGTGGATTTAGCGATTTCAAGGCGCTCTTTTCATTGACGAATTTGTTTGATTGTAGATCGGCAATCTCTTTAGCAAAATGTAAAGATTGAATATATTTTACCCAAGCCATTTTTGCTTGCTGGAATTCAGCGAAAGTTACATATTCAGACGGCGTATTATCAATTTCCTTTCTGTAACCTTGCTTTTTCTTTCGATAAAGTTGAGTAACGCGAAGCAAACGGGCGGTGACATGCAATAGACTTGTTAGCTTAGAAAAGCGCAATAAAAGGCTCATTTCAATCGGTGCGGTTTTTGTTACAGTCACATGAATTTTCGAGCGAGTTTCTAAGTTTATTCCTGACGGGAGTGGTAATTGTATTTTTGGCCATTGGTTTTTGTCCAACACGAGCCATGATGGTCCATGAAACCACAAAGAGTTGTTGATGAGTTGACTTGCAAATGCTCCTCTGGAAGCGATATCAGCGGGATTTTCGTGCGTTCGCACATGACGCCAGTGTTCTGCTGGAAATAGTTTTTGTATTTCATGAACTCGATGAGCGACGTACGATTTCCAATTGGATGGGTGAGCTTGTAACCAAGTCCAAGTAACTGCGGAATCAGTCCAAAGAAAAACGCTTTTCCGTGGAATACTTAAGTTTGTAGCAACCTTGTTCATCAGTGTAGCTAGTAGTACAGCGCTACATAATTCCAAACGATGAATATGCATTGGCTCAAGTGGCGCTACACGCGTTTTGGAGCATATTAAATTCGAAGTTGTTATGCTATTTGATGTTTGAACGATGTAAATTGCTGCACCGTATGCTGGTTCAGAGCTATCGCAAAATCCGTGTAATGATTTAATTGAATCTGCGGATGTGTGAAACCATCGTTCCAATTTCATGGTTTCGATTAGTGGCAATTCAGCTTTGTAATTGTTCCATTCAGTTTGAATTTGCGCATCAACGCGATTATCCCAATCAATCCCTGAGTGCCATACTTTTTGCATTAGTATTTTTGGTTTCAGAATGATTGGCGCAAGAAGTCCACATGGATCAAATAATTTAGATGCATCCGAAAGTAGTTTGCGTTTTGTGATATTTTCACCTTTGAAAAAAGTTGAAAGATCGAGCGAAAATTGCAATAAATCTTGTTGCGGCAGCCAATTTATTCCAAGCGTTTTTATAGCTTCATGCTTGTTTAATTGAAATGACGACGCATTTGCTTTGTGTTCTTGCGGAAAATCTTGCAAAACAGAGTCATCATTTGAAGCCCATTTGCGAAATGGTAATTTGCCTGATCGTCCTAGATTATACAGCTCGTTTACCAATCGCCTGGCTAATACTTTGGATTCGCTACCCGAAATACAATCGTCAACGTACAAATCAGTTTTTATTTTCTCTGAAGCATTTGGGAAGTTTTCTTTCTCAGCATCGGCGAGAGCAAATGTGCAACTGATTGCTAAAAAGGGTGACGGTTTTAGTCCGAAAACAATGGTATTCAAATAATATGTTTCAATTGGATCAGTTTCCGAAAATCGCCAAAGGATTTTTTGGTATTTTCGGTCTTCGGGGGCTACTAGAATTTGGCGATACATCTTTTCTATGTCACTCACAATTGCTATTTTATGTATGCGCCAGCGGATGAAAATATCGAATAAATCTGGCTGGATTGTTGGTCCATTTAGTAGTCGATCGTTTAATGAAAATCCGTTGGAAGAAGTAGCGGAACCGTCAAACACTGTTCGCTGTTTAGTTGTTGTGCTGCTTTCGCGCGTGACGGCATGATGTGGCAAAAAATACCCATCATTTGATTCGTCACAGAGTGACATATGACCTACGTCAATGTAGCCTTGCATGTCCTCTCTGTAACGGCGATAAAATTCTGGTTGTCGCTTAAATTTTTTCTCCATTTGATATAATCGTTGCGTTGCTTTGTAGCGCGAATTTCCCAACAAATTTTTGTCCTTTGGATCAAAATTAAATGGCAAAGACACCATCATTTTTCCGCTTTCAAAGCGTTTGAAGTGCTTATTGAAATGATCGACGCATTGCTGGTGTTCTTCTGATAAAATTGGTTTCGCAGGAATTGTGTCGCTATCCCAAAACCGTTGCAATTGTTCGGATATGGAGATTGCATTTACGCGAACACTGACGTTTTTGTCGGGTGAAATTGCACCGAAAACGAGCCAACCAAGAGACGAGTTTTGAGCTATTGGTTCGTACGGTTTGCCTTTTCGTAGCCCATTCTTGATAATTAATCCATATATGTCCACACCGAACAATAAATCAATGTTTGATGGATTCATGAAGTCAGGATCGGCGAGAGTAAGACCAGCTAAATGTTTCAAATTGGCGAGTTTTGCGTTATACTTTCTTGTGGATAAAATCGAGCGCATAATCATAGCATTTACGTCCAATTCGAACTCGCTATCATGAACTGATTCGACTTTGATTTTCACATAGCCTTTTGATGTACCAAGCACGGCGTCATCAATGCCTGTTATTTGAATGTTCTCATGAATGCGTGGTAATGAAAGCAATTGAGCCGCACGCTCTGAAATGATAGCTCCTTCAGAGCCTTGATCAATGAAAACTCGTAGCAACTGTTTTATGCCATGACGGTCCTGCACTTTTACTATCGCTGTTGCCAATAGTTTATTGCCGTTGCTAAATACATTTGCTGAAAAGTCCGGCATATTGATAGAATTCACTGATGATGATGTGGATGTAGTATCTTCGTGTAATTTGGTGCTGTGAAGCCCCTGGCAAATTTTACAGCGAAATTTGGATTTACAGGATTGAACCTCGTGTTTTTTCATGCATACAACACAAAGTTTCTTCTCGTTGACAAACTGTTTTCTTTGTGTGACGTCCCAACCTTTAAACGTGTCGCAAAATAGTATGTAATGCTGGCCTTTGCACACTTCACAAAAATCCTTTTTCTTTTCATTATTTTCCACTCTTGTTGCATTGATTTTTTGCGTTGAGGATTGCTGAACATTTGAACTCGTTGTTGGAGTTTTAACAATGCGGTATTGCGTTTCAAGAAAATCAAGCATGTCGGAATATTCAGGGATTTCTTTTGAGCCGCCGAGTTTTTTCTCCCATTCAATCGCAGTGTCTTTGTCTAATTTTGTTTGCAACACATAAACAATGAATGGATCCCAATGCTCAATGTCCACGTCGAGAGTTTCAATGCTTTGCATCGCTTCTTTGGTTGTGTCGATCAAGCTGCGGATACTGTGTGCATTTTGATGTTTTATGGGCTCCTGGAAAATGAAAGATTTCAAACATTCATTCACAATCGATCTCTTATTATGGTAATGTTCTATCAGTAGATTCCAAGCGATATCGTAATTTGCATCTGACGCTGGGAGTTTGCTTATGCGCTTAGCAGCCTCACCGAGCAAACTATCACGTAGATGATGCATTTTGCTAATTTTCGGAATATTTGCATTTTGATCGACTAACGCAGAAAATGTATCAAAAAATGTGATCCATTCTAATTCGTTTCCAGCGAATTTCGGAATGGAAATTGGTGGCAGTTTGATATTTGGTGCGCTATTTTCGAGACGAGATGCCATTGTTGAATTTAGCGACACTACTTCTTCGCCATCTTTCGTGATGGTGTTTATCATCGCAACGGTGGCAATGTATGACTCGGTTATTGATTCATTGTCGATTTGTAAATGGTCGTACTCAAATTCTTCTTCATTTTCGATTTTTTCCATCAATTCTTTGTATTTGGAGTACGAACCTTCAAGATTTGTGAGTCTAGTGCGAGCAGAGGCTACTGAGCCTCCCTTTTTGATTTTTTCTTCATGCGACAAAATTGAACGGACCAGATTGTCACGTTTTTGCAACAATTTTTGATATGTTTTTGAGCAATTTTCGGCCATTTTTATTCAAATTCGACTGTTTTTTCGCTCAAATTTTTGCGGTGTTCCACTGGCGATTTGTTTTTAAATGTGAAAGAAATATGCGATTCAAACGCGATTTGCTGTGAGATGCAATTGTGCTTTGTTGCGAAGTGCTAAAATAAA